CAGGATCTGAGACATCACATGATATTAACACTTATATAATATACCACATAAAGGCTCACCAGTTCTTATGAAAGAACTAGTCAAAAAAANTCTTTCATATCTAATCCTATATATATATAACAGGCAGCTTTTTAAAAAATGTACTTTGCAGATGCTTTTGTCCAAAGTGACGTACATGTTGGGGAATGCAGGGTCAGACAGTCCCTGGAGCAATTGGGACTTAAGGGCCTTGCTTAAGGGCCTAGCAGTGAATTCACTCTGTCGACCCTGGGATCTGAACCAGCACAGTATCCTACACACTGAGCCACAAATCACCCATATTTTTACTTTGGTTTGACGTCCACAACAAAAACTACCAATAAAAGTCACTTAAACATTTTAGAACAATGGTCTCCAACCATTGTTATAGTGTGAGCTACTTTTTCAAAGAAAATAATCTGTTAAGCTACGGAGTCCCAATGGTATATTTTGCTGACCAGAGGGGGTCTTGTATATTGGGGGGGGGGGGGGGGGGGGGGGGGGGGGGGGGGGGGGGGGGGGGGGGGGGGGGGGGCTCCCCTTGGTAGATTTTGCCATCTTTCGTGATTGACAAAAATGACCTGATGACCGACCAAACAATTGTGACTGGTTGGTGACCACCATTTCAGAACGTTAAGTAATTAGGTTGAATTAAAAAAAAATTATGTGAATGCAGAGCCCCATATCTCACCCATTGAGTGGCAGCAATATCATTGCCTGTGTACCGGTTTACAGAAGACTAGTGGAAAGCAAGACTTCAGAGTGTTTTTGTTTTCAGAGATAATCGGATATACTCTGCCTTCTTGTCTCAGAAAAGCATCTGACAGTTAATGCATATACCTTCATTACAGCACCAGCATCTATCCCATAGTAATGCATCACCCTGCCCTTGTTAAACTGATACTTTACTTGCTATTTGCCCAGAGAGCGCAAAGCTTTTTTTCCAAGCACCCCTGGAGCAGTTTTTGTGCTTAAGGTCTCAACTGAAGTGCCTGACAATGACACAGTGATTCTACTAGTCATGGAATTTGAACCGGTGACCTTCTGGACATCGGCAAACTAACCCAGAGGGTCACACACAACCTATACCAGCATTAATCACGTGATCTTGATTTTTCACCACCACCGGCCGTAAAAGATTGGGTTACACCTTAAATAATGGATTGAATTACCATCATAAGATATTTTATAAAAGCAGTCATTAATGACTGTAGCTGTAATCTGAACATATATCATAAACATTTTTTAATTAGTCAAAGTCAGCTTTATTGTCAATTTCTTCACATGTACTAGACATACAAAGAAATCGAAATTACGTTCCTCACTGTCCCATGCGCAGACAAGACACGACAAGACATGACCGGATAGGACAAACAGTGAAGTGCAGAGGCAGAACAAAACACATCCTAACTACTGAGTAACAGTATATAAAGTGCAGGTAGCTTAAGGCATATACTCTTAGAAATTAAAGTGTAATAATAAGTGTTTCCAGTATTATAAAGTGTTTATGTGCTGAGACATTTAATAATAGCAGCTGTAATGGTAATAATAATAATAATAATGGTAACAGATGTGTGCATCTGTTTAAAATTAAAACTCTATATTAAAATTAAAACTCTATATTAACGTATCGAGTGCTTGTTTATTAAAGGGTTACATATAGTTTAGCAAGCAGACTAGTAGCAGAGAAGCAGTAATGTTTTTCTGTCCCAAAATAGATTTGCACCACTGGAAAGTCATTAATTATTAAATTATTATAAATAATACATAGTTCAAACAGAGTTCTCATTAAAAGATGGGCAATGATACTATTAAAAAACATGAGTAAAAAACTGGAAGACTCCTCTACACCTACCACATCAGGTTGAAGATTAAAGAGCAGGGGTACAGAGTAAAGGAGGGCGTTCATTGTGGTGAACACCGATGAGCTCCAGGACTGACGCACCTCTCGGCTCCGAGGAACCCGGTGAATGGTAAACTGGAATCAGAAGACGATCATGTTTTAAGTACATCACAGAAAATGTTCCATAAATTATTTACACAAGTAAAAAAAAAAAAGATTTCTATAAAAAGTTGCTTAATGCATACATGACAAGCAAGTGGGAGCAAATTTCTTACGTAGCCAGAAGAAAACTATGAAATACCGCCCCCTACTGGAACGTATGCGGAGGTACACTTTCTCGTCATGACAGAACCGAGAAGGTGTTTTGGATCCCCACATATGCACCCTGTATATTCTGTATTTATCGTCATTGAACAATCAAATAATTCCGGGTCAATCAGACAAATAATCTAATTAAAGGCTAGACCTTCCTGGGCGCTTGGACCAGGACTCTGGAAGATTTCAGCTGATTCAATAAATAAGCACTCTGCAATACAAGAACTCTTTATGGTCATTTACGTAAATGCTATTCAGATATTAATACTAATTTAAAAATTCTCAGGAAAGACTTAACTTCCAAATTAGCTGAACATTTATCCTTTTATTTCGGAATTCCTGCCCTTATCCACGTCTAATGCGTACTGATTTCTAAAGGCACGTCAGGTTCATTAAGCTTCACTGAAACAAAGTGAATACAAAACAGAAAAGTTCTTAAAACGTCGCTAAGAACTGTGAAATGAGGAGTGCAAGTATTGCTGCTTAAAAAGAGACAAAGCAAAGAGGCTCAATTACATTTCCTTGATCCTGTTGCTTTTTTGACGCCTCAAGAGTGCGGATCTTGTCCTCACTCATTTTGTCCGTATCAGCGATAACATAATGCCGGGGACAGTATGACTCCGAGAGGCTTCCCATTAACCGCAGGATCTCCGTGGTATGACCTCCTGTTAAGAAATGGTTCAACAAAACCACGGTTATGACCGAACAACTCAAGGCAGGCAATGGAAAGCAGTTTCTCCTCATAAAAAGCATTGGCTATATCTATTACAATGTTACGCCCACCGTATCCTTAAAATATTAGATATATCCGAACACAATCGAGACGCAACAATATACCATTTAATTTAACCAGCTGGTTATCAACACACGTGAATAGCTGTAAATGAATCGTCGGTACTTCATGAAGTCGACTGAATAACGCACTACTCTTAAGCAATTTCAGATAGGCAAGTTATTCATTTCACCTGAGCCTGCAACAACAAGGACACTGACGGAGCCCTTCTTCCCGGGTCTGTATCCTGAGCCTTTTCGTACAACAAAGAATAACCGCAGAGTAAAAAGTACGATTATGAGAATGAACCCACAAAAAACGCCAAACAGCGCTGCCATATTATGACACGATATGAACACATAAGGGAGCTACGGCATCCTCTTCGGGTCAAACTTAACGGAAACGACATTACCGAAGACGGACGTCAAACCTCCTGTGTCTGAAGCCTAGTTCGTAAATTACTGACATAAACCTGTATACATTACATTGTCAAGTGGATTATAGAAAAAGTTTATTTTTTTCTCTTATTTCTAACAGAAGTTAGGTGCTGGGGGCGGGCGTGGGCAGCAAGTTGTCCTTGGACCTTTTTCGGTTCCTCTCCTCCCTTGTCATCAGGGACGGATTACGGACCGGGCCAGCGGGGCCGCTGCCCAGGGGCCCTTGGGGTGCAGGGGCCCGTGGGGCCCCTAGCCCAAAACAATTTGCAACGCTTATCAACAATGTATTTTCGTTTGTCTATTTTAGAGGGCCTACATTCTTTGATCCTCTGCCTACAAGGGCCCCTGACCCTATAGGGCCTCTGATGGAAACATGGAGGGAGGGCGTTTGGCTGCCAAGAGCCCTTGAATTGTGGTGGTTGTGGTGGTGGTGGTGCTGGTGGTGGTGGGGGCCCTCGCGAACGTTTTGCCCAGGGGCCCACACAACCCATAATCCGTCCCTGCTTGTCATCTATCTTTCTTTTTAAAAATTTCTTTGTCTTTCCTTTCCCTCGTTTTTGTATTATTTGATTTTAATAATGTTGGAATGCAGCCTGTCACAACACATCCATGTAAAGCGTCTTGGGGCGAGTCTGCTGTGAAAGGCGCTATATAAAAATTAATTGAATTCAACTGAATTGAAGAGGAACCAAATAATGTACTCCACGTTATTGTTGGCAATTATATGTAATATTATTATTTGGTCAGGTAAACTAAAAAAGACCTATACGCAAATGCTGTACCATTCAAAACGATCATATGTTTAAAGACTGACTTACTGATACCTTTCATTACCGGCGTGTATAACACAGTATAGATACATTTTATATGTATATATTTTACTGTATAATTCTCAGGTTTAAAACGTCAGGTGGTTTGACAGCCCAAATTACATGCATAAACATCCATATCCACCCACCCATTCATTTTCAAAACATTTTAAATAGATAAAATATATAAACAAAAAGCTCGTCAAAGAATCTTTAATGATTCAAAACATGCCACCATGCAGTAAGATTTTTCATCAGTCACTCCTAATTTGATCTTTTGTGCCCAATTACTCTAATTTTATTTGGAACAACTGGAATTCAGCTCTATATGCCGTCCGTGGTAGTCTTCGATACCACCTACAGATGGGTGATATTTAAGTAAAAAATAATAATGAGTGATTTGCGAGTACGACGTACGTGTAAGTGCTGGTTAATGTTAATTAATCGGTGCTCTGGCTTTCGATTCAAGATAATGTCTCTTTAAGACTTGAAATGAAATGTGATTCTCATTGGAGAAGCGCCTTGCCCTGCAGTAACCCTGCCATAACCGAGCATCAGTTTTAACAGCGCATCACTTTCAGCGTTCAACATACCCGCCGTGCACGAAATGTCAGGCATCGAAATGTAAAATGCAATCGTGTCATGTATAAATGTCTGTTATTTTCCAAAAATGGTTATCGAAAATACATATTTTTTTTCCAGTGATGACTAAACCTAGATCTAACAGCCCTTATATTGCAATATAATGGCGAATAAACCGGTTGAGCGATAATTTTCTGCTTAATGAGAGACACAAGGTAAGGATGATTTCATTCATTTCTATGTGTAACTCGTATGGAAAAAGAAATACAAATTTTGCGTATTTATGCAATGCGGCGTGAGCCGGCCTGCCAGTGCAGCCTACCGTTACGTTTATCAGCACGGCTCTTGCACATATACTGTATGTAATGTAACCGTGCCATCGTTTTGACCTGACAGATTACTTTTCATCTCAGGTCTCACGTTGAGTGATTAAAAATCCCGGTGTTGTACGTGGAGGTCGCAGTATCCGAAATGGCTTTTGTTCATGTCCAGATTGAGTGATACGTGGTCGGATTTCCCGAGTTACTTTCATTATCGCTGTCAAAACGCCGCCTCTGATTCGGTCCCATTTGCCGAAGACCAATGCTACCTCTGAATACCCCTTAATTTCTTAGCAGTATGTACAGAAAAATAACTGTCCTTCTGAACCGTTGCTGCTTATTGATATTTAAAGTGTGTACATACATGTTCTGAAATATAATCGTACTTATTTTGAAATGTCTATCCGCTCTCATCCAAATCTGTGGCAATATTTACATTCTTCAAAGTTCATCATTATACTAAAACTATACTTCGGTCGGGCTATGTTATAATGTTAATCTTTTTCTTTTATGATCTAATTGTTATACCATGGTCCAAACGCTACTATTAGTGGGTTTCCCATGAATCATAATCAATGACCTTGCTTCAATTTGTGGTTTGGGCGTTTGTGTCCCTGCCAACAGAAAATCCGATACCGCCTGAGAGCCGTGCAATTACTCATAGACATCGTGCTTTTAATTAGAGCATGTAGCCACCGAAACGAACTTACAGTTCTTCCTGCTTTGACCATCAGTGTTGATATTTCGCTTATGTAACCATTCGGTAAGCGCTTGCAGTTCAGTATTGATATACATTCACATAATTAAGCTGTAAACATTCGCTAGCCCTGTGTATATGTTTTGTTATCATGGAATTTAACAATTTCAAACCAAGCTATCATCCTGCACCGATAAAACCTTAGCCCGTTGTTTACAGCTACACATCCTGCACAGTTTTGTTTTTGTTATTGCGGACATGTGAGCAGATGCCCTTTAATATCGGTAGTCAGATGACTGCAAACCTTAAGCTCAATGAAATTTGTTTAACAATTTCTGATTTAGGGTCTTTCTTACGGGATCAGTGACATACATCAACTGAAGACCAAATTTCCAAAACTCACTACGCCCACAAGATACTTTTTTGTTGGATTACATGAGGACTGAGAATTTTGGCTCCCGATACTGTAACATATGATGAGAAAGCCTAACATTGGTGGATCATCTCAAAAGCAACAAGAAATGGACATTTGCTTTTCTGTTGTCTTACTTGTTTTTGCAAATGGTAATTTGTAATTAATTTGTAATTTGTAATGTGAAAGTTTAGGTCTAGAGGTTCAGTTGGTAGCACTGTGGGACTACACATCTAGGTTAATCTTCTGCTCCTAGTTTCTGCTGCATGCGTGTCGTTTGTGCAACTTATGTCTGGGTTTCCTCAGCTGTCCATGAATATGTTATTTGAATTGGTGTCTCTAAATTGCCTTCAGTGCGTGTCTCACTCACGGTGTCCCCTGCCTGTCCTGTGTTTGCACTGAGAACCTGTTCTGGATGAGGTCTGAGGGAAAATAGAGGGATGTTTTGCATCAGTAATGAAATGCAGTAAAAAGTAGCAGAGGGCTTTTCTCTTTCTTATGTACATGATCCTGTTTTCCATTAATATGATTTTAGCATTAGCTTGAACAATGATACATCAATTCTTTGGCAAACTCACATAGAAGGTGTGCACTGTATTCTCTTACATTTGTACTTTAAATGGAAAAAGACTGCTTCAGAATAGTTTCCAAAATATATGTAAAATAATGGTCCTAAAATGTAAACTTCTGTGGGACATTTATCAAGGGCAAAGGGTTTGTTTTCACCATTGGTAGGGACTAAATCAGCCTCAACCCCCCTGCCCCCCTAAACACACATAGTACTTCCATGATATTGGTAGGGACATTTTCCTACTGTCCGTACCCAAATCTACGGCCTTAACATTTATAGATGTCATTTATAGGACAGTGCAATCAGTTGTGCATTCTGCTTTTTTTGTAAAAGACTGGAAGTCAAGTTTGCAACTAGCATACCATTGATGAGCTGATAAGTCTTCCTGTTTCTTTATGGTAAACAGTTCCTTCTATATTGCTGACATTGTGGTAACTTAGTGAAATATCATGCTGAGGTCATGTCATGAGATATTTCTGAGATATCAATAAGAATAATTCACCTAATCTATGATATTAAACATTTGACCCTACCCTCCTTGGTTGCCCGATAACAGAAGCTGGGTTAAGATGAGGCTTGGAAAGTATCTAATTTTTCATAATGTCTCACCATCTGAACATTATACTGGTATATGGTATTTTTATGATATGTTCAGAATATTCTGTTTTGCAATACAGGTTTAGTATTTTGAAATCTTGGTGATAAAATTCACCAAGCAGAGATCATCAATAAGTTTTTCTAAAATATTTTTAGAAACGAAACATAGCAAGCTTTGCAATTTGAATGACCGTTCCTTTTCAGGATTATCTAGCACATATTTACTAATCTGTGCAAAGTTTGCCTTTTGCATGAGCTCTGCATGCACTCTCTGAGCCAATTATAATCAGTTTTGTCCTTGGCTGTTGGACTCAAACTCTTAGAAAAAAGGGTAAAAATTTGTACCTTTGCTTGTGACTGGGGCTGTACTCTCAAGGGTCTGCCAATTGTACCCATAGCTCTAGGTAATGGTACCTTTTAAGGTACAGAAATGGACCCTGAGAAACGTTTCTGTACCATTGATGGTACATTAATGCTGTTAGTGCCTTTGGGATGTTCCTCAGTCCATTTCTGTTCCCTCAAAGGTACAGTTACAAAGGTACAGCCCCATAAATTTTTACCCTTTTTTCTGAGAGTGCAGTTATAGACCTTGTGAGAAAATGAGTGAGGAGGAGAAAAGCGAAAAAGAGCTGGTCAGTGGAACCCTTTGGGATTCCTTAGAGATGACATTGATTAAAAGCAAATGATTTGTCTGCAGTGCTTTGTGTCTGTTGGCTAAACCCGTGGCAACACTACCAACTTATTTCACAGACTTTATTGGTATGTCATAACTATATTTTATTTTGGGTAATTTTTTCTGCTTTATAAACACACTATATGGACAGAAGTATTGGGACACCTGGCCTGATATGCATACCAAGAATTCTATGCTTCCAACTTTGTGGGAACAGTTTGGGGAAGGCCCTTTTCTGTTCCAGCATGACTGTGCCCCAGTGCACAAAGCAAGGTCCATAAAAACATGGTTGGGTGAGTTTGGGGTTGAAACACTTCACTAGCCCGCACAGAGCACCTTTGGGATGAACTAGATCGGAGATTGTAAGCCAGGTCTTCATGTGTAACATCAATAAACAATGTGTAGAAATTGAGTAAAGCATTGATTTCTTTGAATGTTGAAGCTCTCATTCAGACTGTTTGCAGTCTTGAGTAAAGCTGCAAAGCTTCAGTGGGGAACATATTGATATGGAACTTACTGTGAAGGTGATCTGGACGGCCAGTGCCAAGGTGATTGGTGGGGCTGACTGGATCTGCTGGGAAGAGCTGCCTTCCTCTTTATACTGTGACAGGATTAAATGCAGGCCTATCGATTGAAGTGGGGGATGTCGGATTCTTTGTGAAGGGCTGGATGTGGTTTTGTTTTGTTTAGGCCAGTCATGGATGGGCATGCTGTGCAGTGTGTGTCCCGGGTTTCCTAGGATAGGCTTCAGGCTCACTGTGACCCTGTATTGAATGAGCAGTTATGAAGGGTGGATGTGGGGCTGGAACTGGAACAGCTGAGCACAGAAGTAGCATGTCAGTTAGGGGGGGGAGGCTCTGAGGGTATGGATGCTGGGCCTATAATCAGAAGGTCATAGGCTCAAATCCCATGGTCAGTGGAGTGGTTTTATCGATGGGCTCCTGAACATTACCTTTAACATCCGGTTGCTCCAGGGACCGTTTGATCCTGGTTTCTCAATTGTATGTTGCTTTGGATAAAAATGTCTACAAAATCAATGTAAGTGTAGAGTGCAGACCTCTTAAGATGCACACAACAACAGCCTTTACTGCTTCACGGCCTTTAATGTAAAATGCAATCCTCCTGGGCCACCAACCACTGAGCCATTAGTATAAAGCATGGGTGGGCAATCGTATGCAGAAAGGGCCATTGGGTATGCAGGTTTTTGCTGCAGCTCCCTAATTAGATTACTAATTAGAGGACTGATTGGCTGAAGAGTCCTCACACGTGAGCTAAAGTTTATCCCAAAACCCCGCATACACACTGGCCCTTTGCGGATAAGATTGCCCACCCCTGATATGTCATGTTTACATCAGTAACTGTCTGTTCATTATAAACAGGATGTGGCTGCAGATCACCATAACTAGATAATTCCACACTATAATGGATGATTGAAAACATTCTTGTGATAAATACAGGGCTATCATTTGAACAGTAATAGAGTATATACTGTTGCATGTGGATCATCCATTAACATATTTTTGTAGCATTTTGAAATCAGTGTAGCTGTAAAATTTCTGTTTCTCAAACAGGAACTTGAGATAGACATCCAGGCTGCACAAAATCAAAACTGGGTATGACCTCCCACAATAAAGGTTTGGTTAATCCTATATCCAAAGACTGGTTTTGTAGTTAAATTTGTATTTAAAATATTGTGGAGAAATCATCAAGATTAGTGTAGAAAGTTTTAGAATAAACATTAAACTTTTTCAGAGAAACTTGATTCTTAAACCCCTGTAATAGATTGTGGTGTAATCTGAAATCCATGCCTTTTATGCTGAAATTACATACCTCCTTGTTTTGGTAAAACCTATGAGCGTCTGATATGTCTTTTTATCGGATGATTTAGCTACTGTAGTCAGTGATTTTTTTTTATCATTTTTTGACATTATTACATTGAAAATGCATTGAAAAGCACTTAATTTGCAGTGTGGTGTTTTCTGCAGAAGTGTTTTGTTTAGCCATGCCAATGGTTCGCCCTTGTTTAACATGCCCATCGTTTCTGCATCCGTCTCTCCTTCTCTGTCCAAGCGTGCGCGGGCTGCGATGGATCCTTTCAGCCAGCTTATCCTCGCCATATCCACGGCCAGCTTCTTCACCTTCCAGTGGCTCTTTCACAGTGTCAGCCCCTGGATGTCCCCTCGCATTACTGCTGGCTTCCTCAGGCTCACGCCTAAGCAGAAGATTGAGTGGAACTCCAGGTAGGACCTTCTGCATAGTTCTACAGTAACAGACCCACAGCACAATTAATTAGCAGTATAAAGTAAGTGCTGTGTATGTGTTTATTGGCGGTTTAGTGGTAGAATTTTTGCCTGTCGTGCAGGAGGCCTGGGGTTCAACTCCCACCTAATTCAGCTAATTCAGTGATTTGTGCTTATGTCCTGAATGCCATGGAAGGAGAATAATTGTATTATTTTTGGAGCGCTAAACAAGGCCCTAACCCCAAGAAGCTGTCCGTACTGATGCTACTCTCTGAATGCAAGCTTCACAAAAAAACGTAATTAAACCTTGACATTATGGTCCAAATTAGCAATATGCTGCAAAATGTAGGTAATGTATGTTACTAAGCAACATATATGGTGGGGTACAGATGGAGCTGGTCGGTTAGAGATGAGAGAGAGTGGGTTTTGTCCTCACAGCTGGCTGGTGTCAGAGTCTTTGGCAGAGGAAGGTGGCTCAGTAGGGTTAGGGTTGGGTTAGGGTTAGGTTTGGGTTAGGGTTAGGGTTATAGCCCTTATACCTTCAGGGCTGGGATACAGCTCTTGGAGCTTGAGTTTTTCCCCCTGTACTTTTATGGTTTTCCTCCTCCTGGGACAATTGGTGTCTCCAACTGTCCTGTAGTGTGTATGGAACAATTTCAATATTGCTCAATAATGTTGATTTCTCTACTGTTCACAGTAGCTTTAAGAGCGACAGGCCGAAACCAGAAATGGACTAATTGTATATGCCTCCCTGCATGTATGAGGAAAAGCAACACCAGTCTTATTTGGTTTTCAAGGGTTAGTAAGAGTAACATTTAATTTAATTCCCTGGAATGTGGATCACAACATTTTTACATTGTCTGGACTGCTGTTTACCTTATTATTCCAAAGTAGTGCATGTAGTACCAAGAGGTCATGGGAATTTGGTGATTAGAAACAGGAAATGAGCGAATTTCAATTCAGTTTAAAGTCCAAAATGTGATGGGAATACATGCAGTGAATGTTGATAGCGAGCTAAAAAATTAAACATTACATTCTGACACTCCGAGCAAACATGAGCAACAGTATTTCTTGGTTATATAACGAGATAAAAATTTGTTCAGCAAAGTAGTTTGTTGGCTAAAGTTCAAGAGAATCTTATCAACAATAAAAACATGAGCAGCACAATTTTGTGAACTTTCTGCTGAAATAAACAAATCAGTGGCTACTGGCTAGCAATGTTGCCGCCGCAGACCTCCCAGCGTTAGTGACTGATAACACTCCTACACTGTGTGAGAGGGGGTCTTTGTGTGAGAGTTTTCATGCCCTAGCAATGTTGTGCAGATTACCTCCACTTAAGGTTGATTTATACTTAAGCATCGACACATTAACCACTGGTGCCCCCTCCTCGGCACACTTCCCGCTCCCCCCGCCGCCCCCTAAAGGCTGCTAAGGTGTTGGTGGTGATGGCGATGAAACTTACATTTTTGGCGTCTTTCTCGTATTTGTTTTCGATAGTTAATAGAGGATACGCATTCTCTTTCATTTTTCCTTTTCATTTTATAGAAACTGTCCCTCACCTTTTCTTCTACTTTCATTCAAACCGAACCGGTCTGCGCATGCAGAAATGTGTGCTATAAGCATTCAGGACACCGACGTCAAGATAGAATTTCAAAATCAAAAAATGAAGTGGACGTAGTTGTGGGGAGTGGAGGGTCCTGACGATGACATTTGCCGAGCGGGTTGTGTGTGGGGGGGTGATGCTCATTAATGAACATACTGGACTGTCATGTTCGTGTTATCCCTTCTGTAAACACCGACGTTTACTAGTCATGCCAAAGAAAGCGCAATGCTGGTGATCGGTATCAGTAAAGCAACCGATCCATCAAGCTGCTACCTAGTGCTCTTCTTTGCGTGAGGGGAGCGGACGTCAGCTAGGTTGCAGTGGAAAATGAACCATTAACCACCGGCATGGATTAATCTAATATATTAGCCTGCGTGTGTCTGCTGGTCATCGCAACTACGGCAGTTACCGACGCGCATCAATGTGTATCTGTCCGTTCGTGTCCATTGTCTGGTTTTTGCAGGACTGTCTCCACATTCCACGCCCTTGTGGTGGGACTCTTCTGCCTCTATATCCTGCTCTTTGACGACGCCGTCAACCAGGACCCGGTCTGGTAAGGCGTATAAGTAATGATTCTTAGATATAATTCATCTACAATGTCTGTTTGGTGTCCACTAGGGATGTAACGCTATTATGAGTAAAAAATAGTATTCCAAAATTGTCCTTCCAAATATTAATTCAGTATTGCTTGTACAGGTATTGTATGTACTTGGTACACTGTTCAGAACACCTACAAATGATCAAAATTAAGAAGCACTTTTAATTTTAATGTCTTTCTTTCCTTGATTTCATACAGTAAAAACATAAACTAGGCCTAATTAGTTATGCTGCCATTTTTCTGAATGGAGATTTGTTATATGGCAAAATAAAGAGTCTGTTGTTTAATTTAAGACTTATGTGTTATTTTCTTCTTAAATATAAAAAATACCTAAACTGTATCATTACTGCAGTCCAAAAACCATGACACATAACTGTACTGTTACACCTCTAGTGGTCACCCTGTCCAAAAATGATTCCTGCTGCCTTACCACATTAGAACAATGTCTGCATTTTTCATCTCATGTTATGTTTTGCTATGGCAGGGGAGACCCTACAATGGTGAAAATTAATGTGGCGGTTACAGCCGGCTACCTCGTGTCTGGTAAGGAATACCCGTTTGGTTCCCTTTTATTGTCTTGGCTGTAGGTATGAGCTGTGCATTTGCAACCATCTTGTCCATTGTTGTAAGATGTGTGGCCTTGCAGAAATAATTAGCAGAGAGAGGTTGCATTTACCAAAGTGTTGAATATACCTTAAATATACATTAAATGTTGAATATACCTTAAATATACCTTAAATGTTGAATATACCTTAAAACAACCTGGCAATTGTAACTTATTTATATCTTTTCTTCGGTTTTGTTTCTCTTGCAGATCTTCTGCTCATATTTTACTACTGGAAGGCTATAGGGGACAAGCTTTTTGTAATCCATCATTTGGCGGCATTGTACGCTTACTACTATGTACTGGTGAGTTCCCTATTGTCCGATAGCAGAACATGCAGGCAAGATGGGAAAAAGGAGACCAAGGGTGAACAGCTGTCCGATGTTGTGTTAAGAAGGAGGACTTTGAATTAGGCTTTCAGTCAGGTTATTTTGCTTCCTGGTTATCTGCGATCTCAGTCAGACGATAAATGGGATCTGCTGGAACATGACTGAGGTCAGAATCAATGGTGTGATGGATTGTGACTGTGTCATCGGAATAACAAGCTGAACTGTGTATGGCGTTGATGGACTATTCTAGAGATGTTCGTGGAAGTCAGCTTAGTATCACTTGGAGTTCTGACCTTGTCCGTTCAAATTTTAACAAGTCCTTCCCCATTAAATGCAGATAAAATGAGGAAACTTGGATTTATTTTGGAGGCTGTACCTGTCAAAGCAACTTTCAGGAGATTAATTATTTTCACATCTTTGAGGACATTGTTTCAGGAGGGAGGTAGCTGTGACAATCAGGGTGTTTTAGTTGAAAATACTCACTAAATAGTGTTTTTACAAAATAAATAAATAACTCAAGGGACTTTGTATCTCACACATTGCCACACAGCTATATTTGAAATATGGCTGAATTTTATTCACATGAACAGGCTGTATACTCACTTTGCCAACCTAAATTTTGCTGTAGTAACAGGTGTAAAATGTGGTGTTACACCAGGCCAGGACTGGAAGTGACACCAGCGCGATGGCACAGTGGAGTTGGCACGTCAGTCTTAACAAGCCAGCATTTCGGTCCTGGAATTAATAATGGGAATTCATTGATTGTAGGCAGCTAAATGAGTGATCAATTTTAAATGAATTGTGAAAAATTAACAAATAACAGCAACCGCAATTTTTTTTAAATGGGAATCACACGAAGGACCCCGCTGTTCACTCTTGGTGTCGCGTGTCTGTACCTGTGCGGGCCACCAGCTCGCCATGATGATGATGTTGATGATGGGGATGTTTTTGCATGGAGCGCTCAGCTGTGGGAGCGGCAGGAGTCTGCCCTGGTTCTGTGCCATTGCCCCTTTGTGCTGAGCTGTGCTGAGCCCCACCACTCCACGCCCCGCCCCGCCCCGCCACGCCCCGCCACGCTGCCTGCATGCCCCCGCTGCCCTCCGCGCATGCATGCCTTAATCACTTACGCTTTCGTGCAATTGGCTTTCAGCTCCAGCCTTTATCTCACACCCATGTAACCACGTAAGCAGGACATCCACAAACACAAAGGGAACAGATTCCTAATTCTTCTTGTTAATAATAGAACTTTGGTGATTTAGATACAAACAGTAACATGGAACATGTGGAGCAGTGCTTCTGAAGCCGGTCCTTGCTCCCTACTGTCTAGGGCAGAGCTATTAAAATCACAGTCCTCAAGGTCTGAGCACTGCTGGTTTTCCATCCTTCCTATACTGTACCTGTGAGCCAGGTGTGAAGCCTCTTTGGCCAATCAGAATCAGCAATTATTAAACTAACTACCTGGGACAACTGGAAACAAGGCCTGAATTTGGAATCAAGGACCAGATTTGAAGAGCCCTGCTTTAGGGGTTCCCGAAGACTGGTTTGAGAAATACTGATGCGCAGTATGATTGATTTATTTATCACTTCCTAGAATATGCTGTGATAGATTCCCCCCACTGATTAGGATAAGCAGTTAAGAGGTGGAAGGATGGATTACTTAGAAGCACAGTATATAGAAACTATATACAAACTGAACAATTCCCAAAATTTATTATGTTTTATTGTTTTTGTAGAAGCTATGGAATTGTGATGTTTAGCAGTTACTTAAAGAATAACTTTATATATACAAGCTTATACATAATCATTTTGAACGTAATGCCATTTTGACCAGGTAACTCTTTAGCAGTCATTAACTGCTGTTAGTTGCTGGTCATGGTTAATGTCGTGAATCAAAATAATTACATTTTCTTCACATTTTTTGGGGGGAAAAAGAAACAAGACAGTTTACCTGAGCTCAGCAACAATTTAACATACATCACTTTCTTGATCATTTACCTTATATATTTACATTAATTCAACATACACTATGCCTTGATTATAAATCAATTTTTTTACATACAATATATCAAATACCGGTAATTCCATCTATTTTGCCTTATTTAATACTTTACATTTCTGGAGCTTCTCTCAAGTAGCATAGGTGAATGTTGTAAGGCAGGACATCAAAAGACAGAGTGTTTCTTGATACCAAGAACACAAAGATCGTACTTGTGGTCTCGACGAGCTCGTTCTTTCTAAATTGCCTCCCCCCGAAAACAAACTTGAGATGCAATGAATCATGGGATTAGGTGATGATGCAACTAATGTATCCTTGATATTTGGGGCGGGGCAAGCACGACATCTGGGGATGTTTGCCATCCTCTGTACTTCTGTTTTTAGTATTGGAACTGGTCTTTGGCAGTGGAAGATGATGTAAAATGGGTGCACGAGAACACAAGTACAGTCAAGTACCCATATTGAGAAACACCCACACACTCAAACTCACGCTATGGACAATTTAAAGGTATATCAGTCCACCTGAACCATGTATGTTTGGACATAGTAGGACATGATGGAAGCTCCACACACACACACTCGCGCACACACACACACACACACACTCGCACACACAGAGGAATCAAACCCACACTTCACAATGCACCGGCATCCTTTGATTTGCCGTGGTAGTGCCCTATTGCATGTTAAGTGTGCTCTTTGGTTTGGTGTCACACTCGTTTTGCTATCAGTTGTATCCGCACCTATTTTTCCAATGACGTCTTTCTCTCCGCTCTGCTGTCACCTAACACGTCTTACCAAAAAGCCAGTACCCATATCTCTTTGCCAGCAAACTCTGACATGCAAAAACTGCCAAAAAAAAAAAATGAATCTGCCAAAGAGGTCAGATTCAGCTGATCTCCCTGGAGTCTTTTCCTGTCTTGTCTGCAGTTAGTGCTGTTGCATTACACTAAGCAGATTGCCTAGTGACAGTATGGACTTACCAGTATTTAGAGGTACCAGCATGCATTGCTGAGTTCATGTCCTCTGGTTTTAATTTGGGCCAGGCGGATATTGTCTGTCTTGAGTAAGTACACATTGTTCACTTTTGGTTTCAATCTGTCAGGTAAGTGCATTTTCTGTATAGGTTCAGCCACTTTGAACATCACCATAACAGCAGTATATGTGCTCATTTGCTTTGGCTTTCAGCTGAAATAGGACCTTAAAGCTTCTCTTTCATAATATCATCTAATCAATGTGTTTCATGTCTAAAATTTAGAGTGCCTTGTTATGGTTTTTTTTTATGAATTATGTATGATGAGGGAAGGATGAATAAATTATTTGCGAATTTGAGAGTGATGTTCAAGGTGGGAACAAACCAAGAAGGTGAAGTCGTTCAATCCGGGCAGTGATGGCTTTATTCTGCATGGCTAATGAGTGCATTTTTACCAGCTTTTGGGGACTGTTAATTGTATGCGTTTGCATTGTTATGTGCTGAAGGTGGTAGTTTTTTTATGTGAAGGTAATTTAAGTCATTTGATGCTGTTGATACTTTGTGTGATATTTCAGCAGACATTGCTATTTGTTATATATTGTGTGTAAGAATGGAAGGTCCACATAACATACAGTGCTTCCTAGCCTTAGACATAATGATTTGGAGTAATTTAGTCCTTAATTAAAGTAAACAGCTATTAGAAGTAGAAATTACACAGACTGCTCCCCACTTTTATTTTATTATGCCATTTTATACAATGTCTCCTGTAATATTTCTAAAATACACATCTAATTATGTATTATTATTCAAAGGCAATACTTGTTCTAAAATGTCAATGCAAATGTTCCTTAATCATGAATAAATGTTGAGTTAAAAACCTAGCTGTTAAGTTAATGTCTCTCTTGATGCTTTTATTGGGCCAGGGGCATCAGTTTGTATATTTATGCTTTGGATGTTACACAAAAACAAATCTATGTAATTACTGTAAATAGATTATTTTTTCAGTTTCGTTGCATGTGTGTAAAACGACAAAGTGATTTGACTTATCTAAAACATATACATATTTCTTTACATTAATATAAATTTAAACAGCCAAAGACATGCACATTTTTTAAATTTTAACCTTTGTGAATTTTTTTTTAATTGAAACTTAGTGTAGTATTATATCAAGTTGAAGAATGAGAATAAGTGGATTTATAAGTAAGTAATGACATATTTATTATCCTGGCTGTGGGCTTACTCACTTACTGTGACAGCTTTTAGTAGTAGGCACGGTATATAGTAATGTGACTTTTTCACAATTTGTTGTGTTACTGTCCAAATTGTGATAAATTTAAAGCCCCCCTCTTTCATTTTATAACTTTCTTAGGCGGGCAATAAATTGATTTAGAGTTTAGGAGAAGATAAAAAATATGTATTGAAAGTGGTTATGCAGTTATTCGTAGACTTGTGCCCTGTAGTCTGCCTTCATCAATAAAATCGCGGGAATGTCATGGTTTATGTGTTTCCGCAAACATCGCGATTGCGGAGTAATTGTTAATTAAATGGAACAGTTGCGTTTTGCCTCCCTCTTGTGGTAGAATCTTTTTACATCTCTATTGAAACTTTTTACATCTTTCTACTGAGACAATGCCGTCAGACCTCAGCAAAGACCGCAAGTAGCAAGCAATACTGCCACTTCCATAAAAAGTGTCACATGTCTATACATTATATCTTAAAGTCAACAAATTAAGGCCTCAAAAACAAACAAATAAATTAAAAAAACAGCTATGTAATCCCTAATGCCACAAACCAAACATCTTCAAATTGGAATAACGACACAGTTGAAAGAGTCCGTACTCAAATGGGTTTACAAACAATCACTAACCTTTGTCTGGGTTGGTAATTATGCTCAGATTAATAAAACTCTTTGTGACTGCACTGACAATTGTAAAAATAAGCTGTTTCGCGGAGATGTCAGATTTAAAAAACAATCAAGTAATCGTTGGGCTAACAATGCAGAAAAACAGGGTCATAAAAAGAAAATAAAATCAAAGGTTAAATTCCTGGTTGGGGCAGCTCCTTGTATCCGTAAGCGTCACACTCAAACTGAAATTTCTTATGTATATATCCATATCCAGGTATTGACGCTCCTCTACTTATGAATGAGATACGTTCCGAACGGCCGTTCGTAACTTGAAATGTTCGTAAGTCGTTATTCAACATCATTTTAAGGGTATACGCAAATACAAAGAACTAGGATGCTGGGAGTACGCACGCTACGCTGCTGTGCGGCGGGAGTAGAGGGCAGATGTCGTACTAGGCGGAATTGGCGTGCAGAAAAAAAAAAAAACGATGTTGCGGACAGGAAATGGGAGGCCAATGAACACAATTTGGACTTACAGTCCTCTTCGTTCGTATGTCTGTATATCCATTTGTAGGCAGATAATTGTAATTTATTGAAAATTAATTTCCAGTTGAAATTACAGCCAGGATAATTTGATTGGTTATTTGTATGTGGTGGAAGAGCTTCTGCGCAGACGTCTCCAGTTAGCACAGTCTGCACCAGCCGGTTGTCTGACTGGTCCATTTATCATGTTCTGAGTGATGGTCCTTAAGCTTCATAATGACTACTTTAACTCTGCTTCATGAGGTAATCATTTGTGCCATAGGTTAGATTAAGTGAATAATTTCTGTCTGTCTGTCCATCCATCCATCCATCTTACAATCCTTGGACAGCATATGGAGTGAGGTTAAAGTGAGGAGTAGGTTCTGTGGATTTGAAGAATATTAGTATTTAATGCAGGTGGTAACATAAGAAAATTGGAGAAAGTCTGGATCCAATGAAGAGAAGTTCTTCCTCTATTACGCTAATTTTTCATGTTATTTAGCCTGAGAGGAGCACTGCCCCTTCATTTAGTGCTGTACTTAGTGGTCTGTAAAGAAGCCAGCGAGTTTTGGAGAACGGGACAGTCGTATAATATCAATATGAATGTCCGATTGGTTAACAGTTGTAAAGCATGGCATTTTCCTTCCGTGTGTTACAAAAATCTACATTTGTTCTGAAGGCTGATTGAATTTCTATATCCTAATATGGTTTATTTCTGTCTTATAAATTTTAATTCACTGCGATTAAGACCAATCAGTTATTCAAGAGCAGAGAAGTATTAAGTGATTACAATTGAATTAAATATTAATTTTACCCCAATATATATGTACATATCAATGAGATTATTATATCAGAATAGTACTCTTTAGTCTTGCTAAGGCCACTCTATTCATTGCCCCCCTTAATACACTGTTCAATCAATAATTTTGATATTCAGAGACCAAAAGTGGAATCTCCAAAAAATGTAATGGCAGCCTTTTTTGACATTCTTTTTCTAGTTGATTATTTCTCTTTGCCTTGTTCTTCCAGGGTCAAGGAATGTTGCCTTATTTCGCTAACTTCCGTCTGATTGCAGAGTTCTCCACTCCCTGTGTCAATCAGCGGTAGGTAACTGGTTGCCTGTGCTTGAACAATTTTATAGGGGAAGCCATGGATGCCTTCAAATCTAATACATAATTAATAGGCCTAATTATTATGTAGAATACATGATATAGATGAATGCACAGAACAGTATAATACAGTAAAGTCTATAGTATAGTAGGGTGCATATATTTATAATATAACACAAGTTTAGTAAAGGGATTAAGCAAGAATGTACAGTCAACGTTAACACTAAGAATGATTACTGAGTTCCATTCATCTTCTGTAACTGTTTGTCATATTCAGGGTTGCAGGGGGGGTTCAGGGTGTATGGCTGGGAACAGCCCAGGATGGGGGCACACTCATATATCATTCAGGCAAATTGGTTACTCCAGTTAACCTCAGTATGCTTTTGGACTGGTGGGGGGATTCCACAATGACACAGGGAGGACATGCAAACACCACACATGGAACTCTTGTGGAGACTCAAACCTTGGTCCCAGAATTGTGAGGCAGCCACTGCACCATCATGCCACACCAAATTGCTGACATATTATATTTAAATATACCATAATGTCTGATTGCGTAACATAAATTCAGTGATTTTTTAATATTTATCCAGGTTGCATTATTGTTGCCACTCTTTTCCAGCTGGTTCTTTGAAGTGTTAGGTTACCCCAAATCCTCCAAGCCCAACATGGCGAACGGGGTGATGATGGCCGTGGTGTTCTTCCTGGTGAGGATCGCCGTCATGCCGCTCTACTACAGCCGCATGTACTCTGTCTACGGCACCGACGCCTTCAACAGGGTCCCCCTGGGTGGCCGCAGTGCCTGGATCTGCTCCAGCATATGCCTGGATGTCATGAACCTCATGTGGATGCACAAGATTGCCCGGGGATGTTACAAAGTGCTGCGCTCCAGCAGACAAGGCAAGAGTGGAACACAGGAAAACGGCAAGACAGAGTGAAGAGGTCAAAGACGCATGTACAGTTAAGCACTCATGGAAGAATATTATTCCTTTACATTGTCCCCAAGGCTGTTTATTTTATTTCTGAGCGAGCTGAACACTTTGTTCCGCTGACATCGAAAAATAACCGCGTTGTTCGGCTATGACGCGTGGGTTTTGCCTGCGTCGAGTGCTCAACACAAGTTATCCGTGTACAGTCGTCAGAAATGTTACTCGCGCTGCATCCCTTTGTTCCAATCCTGTCTGGAATAACAAAAGTACAAGAGCTGATTTTTAGATAAAACGTAAAGTCTGACAGCTGTGTATATATAACTGTCAATATATCAGCTTCTGGATTTATATGTCATGAAAATGTTGTTCTTTTTCGCAGTGGAATGGTGTCCAGGTGGCCGCCGGGAAACATTCTTGGCTACTCTGGGGTGCAAGCAGCACACCTGCCTATCTTGAATTATTTATAATTTAAAAAGCAGTTTTCCTCCATTTCTGGTGATTGCTGCATCTAGCGCGCAGTGCCAGTAAAGTGAATAGCTGAGAGAAGTGCAATAATACCAAGATACAGAAAACGAAAGGAAACCATTGCAGATCCGTGGGATCCATTCTCAGTAGCTCACTCTCCATGAGTCACTGTGATTATGTGCCAGAACTCATGACTGACAATGTCTAAATGTTTTACTCAGAGAGAATGAACCGATTTTTTTTTTTTTTACAAGAACGAGGAACAAAGTGCACTTATACTATTTGTGTCTCACGCCACAGGACAGCTGTTGCGATTCAAATATCGGAAATTAATAAGATGACTGAATATGGAATTTCTACGTGCTGGCTGGTTTTTTTTCAGTTCAATATTTTATGTCAATAGAAATGTTCTCAATTTAAAGGTAGAAAATATATTTAAGGTCAGTGAATAAAAAGGAAGACATTAAATTTAAGGAAGGAATGGACTGAACCAATCTGATAGACGTTGTAGGCTACCGGGTGATATTTCTGTTCAAAAGTGCATGCTCTGCAATGTCAGTCACAGAATATTTTAATTATTTTAATAATTGTAATGAAGCATTTGACTGATGCCTAATCCAGTTCTATTATACCAATATTTGTGTAATTTGAGTTTAAATTATGTTTTTTTTTCAAATTAAGATTTAAGTAACTTGCATAAATTATTGCAGGTGGATAAGGCTAAATGATTCTTTTTTTAAATTGTGTGTAATTAATTCTTATGTCAGTGAATTAATGGAGCAGAGAAGCTGCGTTTGGTTGTTGTGCATTTCTTGTCTTAATGGACATTAGTTTCAAGTTTAATTGTCATGTGTTCCGAGGAACACAGTGAAATTCTTAAGCTGTAGTTGCAGGGAAGGATATCAGGGATAGGATGAACATTAGTGCAATAAGGTACCCTTACCATGTGGGGCTTGAACCCACAACCCTGAGATTAAAAGCCCCATGTGCTACTAACTGAGGTAGCCAGGCTGTTACCTGAAGTTTTCGTTATGTTGGTAGTTCTTGGCCCAAAGACCATTTTGTATATAAAGATCGATTTTAAAGAGTACAAAGAGTATGCATACAGTACTTAGAGGGGGCTAATTGCAGACCACAGTGTCCTCTAGGACTATACCAGAAGCCTTTGAGGTGAAGTATTGCTGAAAAGAAATAGCATGATGATGTCTACGTGAGTATGAAACCAGACTGAATTAAAATGACCACTTTTTTGTCTGAAGCTCTTCAGCACACTGGCTTGGTTAAGAGGTTCCTGTCACTTAATGCTTTACATAGGTAAATCGTTTCTGATTGCTGTTAAACAATAACCTGCAATGTCTCCCCTCCCACAATGAAAAGTTGTATTTTGTAAGAGTTATAGAATGTAGAACTTATTTATTTTTTTGTTATTTAATTTTCTACACATTTCTTATATCGTTTGATACTATGGACACTGGACTATCACTGCCACTTACTGCGCTGTGCCAGTACCTTTCAGACTGAGGCTCTCTTATCTGTTTGTTTTTTGCAGAGCTTTGAATTATATACGAATGTTGTTTGGATCCCCTACAATCTAAGGACATGTTTGATATTCCACTTTTTAAAAATTATGCATACCTTTTAATTTCAACAAGGTTAATAGTTATAGGTGTATGTATTATGCGTTGTACTTAATCACCTCTCGAAAGCAAATCCACTGATATGCAGTGCCCAAGCCCAAACTTGAATGTGCTTTAAATATGTATCCACCATTGACGCTGGATTTAAGAAGCCTGGTCTGTGATGATCTTTCTGTAGAATTGACTGCTGTGATTCATAGCACGTACGTGATGCTTAAAAAGAATTGTTCGTCACATAGATTGTCATAAATAAATCAGTGATATCTAGCACCCTACATTAGGGCTTTCTGTTAAGAAAACAGAATATTATACATTCTTTAAAATTATATATCAGCTGTAAATCATATTTTATATATATATATATATATAAAATATTATTTACAGCTGATTTGTTCTACAAATAAGTTTATTTATATGATAAATAACTGGTGTTATGTCTGCTCCTGTTGCAAAACCCTTGCCATGCACTTTGGGTCTACTATGAACTGAAAGGTAAGATGCATGCCACTTCTGTCAATGAAGTCTTTCTGATATAAGCACATTGCCATTTGTAATGTTCTAATTAAACCTGTTTAAATTGAAAATGAATGTTGTTTCATTTGCTTTGTCCAGGATGGGTAATTACAATGTAGAACAGATAGTTCGAGACTCATTAAATGAATGTATATGTGCAAATTGTATGTCCTCTTTATCTTTTCTGCTTTAAAGTATGGGTGCAATTATCTTTATATAGAGATCAAATGAATTAATCTTTGTTTTTTTATCACACTTGATAATTGCAAGGTTATTGGCTATCCAGTGATTGATATTAAAATCAAATATTTCATCCAGTATTTCAGGAATCAATCTACTAATCTGATAATGCAGTGTATGAAGTACAAGAAACTATTTTGCTAAATATATTTTGCCTGCAATTGTTTGAATGATGCTCAAACGGTCTCTGTTTACAGTTATTCTGAATATGCAGTGATTAATATATAAACCTTAATATATAAAATATATATATATATATATATAATATATAAAAGGTGGTTAATTACAGTGTAATTATATGTTCACATATTTTGTTTATTAAGCTATTATTATTATTATTACTATTATTATATTGTATTCTTTGTTTTGTTTTCATATTAAAGTTTTAAATTTGTCATATTTGTCTTAAATTTTGTAATCCATTTACCTGAATGAGGCAACGCATTCATTAAAAGAATAAAATAAATGGTCATTTATTTATGATTGTTCATTCCTGTGTGCCAATCCTGTCAGTGACACAGCACTAAACCCAGCTCTGTGATCATCTGCTTCCCAGATTAGCAGGCAATAACCTACTACTTCACAGTGCAGTCTAGAGATGAACATGTGCACTTTAATTAACTTCCATTCACAGCACAAATTAGTGACTGGCACTTCCTATGCCCCACCCCCTTTCAATTTCCACCAATCAAAGGTACCTGATTGATGCACAATGAACATGTCCACACTCTAATTCAGTGTTTGCCAATCCGGTCCTTGGGGACCCACAGACTATCCATGTTTTTGCTCCATGTGGACTGTCTGCCAGGGAGCTCAGAGGGAGCAAAAACATGTACCTACTGTGGGTCCCCGGGGACTGGACCGGGAAACACTGCTCTAAATTAGCTGTCACACATAGTACTACTCTGACTCTGAATAAATGCCCCTGTCAGGTAGGGAACGAACAACACACCTCACACATTATTTCTGTCTGCTTCCCTCTTTTAAGAAGACTTAAAAAATGAATGGGAGAAATACAGGAACTGAACTGTACAGTTCTGCTGTAGTCACACTCATGCCTGAAAACTGCCCCCAGAAACAGCTCCTCAAGGTTTCAGTGCATACATTCCTGAATGAGAAAAGTGCATCCACAGTAAAACAGCTGTATAAACTCAGCCAAGAAGTGACAGTGGGGTGGTGCACCCATCACTGGCCATGGAAACAGAACACTTGGAAAGGTTTCCTTCAATCTGGCGAACAGAGCCCCATTCAGTCATTGACAGTTGATTGGTTAAGATCTCCACTGCTCTAATTCTTTCCAACAAGAAAGAAAGGTTTTCACAAAGGGACAGAAACTACAATCACTTTAATACCTTTTCTTATCACTGAAAATTTTGTGACTAAATATTTTTTCAGTTTTTGTTTACAGCTGTTTTTTTTTATTTAAAATTCAACTTTGAAATAGACGTTTGTCATGCAAAAAAGCAACACATACAGCAAACTGGGTTTGGCTACTGTTTTAAGTATCTCCTTCGATGAGAAGAAATGCCACCAGACGTTCTTGTATGACATCAAGGCCAAGTAGAAAACCCTAATCAATTAATGGGCTTCGTCAATGACACTGGCGTCTCTGCTGTTAGGTAAGTGACCTGCGTGAAGTTGGCTCCACAGAAGGTGGAGCGGTTTAATAAAAATGTCCAATAATGGTTTTACTTTCTCCCTCCACTCTACCCGAACTAACATTTCAAATTAAAGGGGGGTGCATGCATTATTCGGTAAGTCTGATTTCATAGCTACCGAGATTTGCATCCCCCATTTTTCACGAGGTAAATACAATTCTCGGCAGGCATGCAAAACTCGGCATAACAGCGGAGGTAACCCTTTCCCTTGTGAGTCGACGACAGTATAGGAGTGCAGGGGAGGAAGGAGGACAATATATTGTAAAAATATAGCGAAAAATATGTATGTCTGTATGTATGAATAGGTATGTATGTATGTGTGTATATTTAATGCACAGGTATATAGACCTCACAAATATTAAGGCCCCTCCCCCCGAATTTCTAAAATGACATTGCTCACGTGAAAATGCAGTGCCCCTTTATTAAATAGCAGCATAAAATGAATACTATATACGAAACGCGTATGGGTGTTAGCCGCTGAGAATCTGAATTTATTCAGCACGATGCTGAAATGCGGTATCTGCCTGGCGGGGCTGACAGTCTACGTACAGCTTTGTCGCGGAGTCATCAAACGCTCCACCTTCCGTTAACATGAGAAACACGAGCCTGAGCACTATACGGCGATCATGTAAAGGCATAAACTAAGAGGTATAACTCAGAAAAAATAACAGTACAGACAATTTTTAAACGGCAAAAACTATCGAGACCGGTTCGGACGCAAACGGGGGGTAACTTAACGTGACCATGTAAATAAGCAATATTTCTGCACCGAAGCAGCACAAAGGACAGTTTTAACGGCACAAACGATTGCGATCGTTTTGGTCGAAATCAGACACAAATGGGATGGGGGGCAACCTTACAAACATTAATATCTCAGAAACTAAAGCAGCAGAAAGGACAGTTTTAACGGCACAAACCAGCACAAACGCAGCACACACGATTTTGATCGGTCTGGTGGAAATCAGACGCAAATGGGGGGCCAACTTCACGCTGATGACGTCACAATGTAAACAAACATTTATATCTCAGAAACTAAAACAGCACAAACAAAAATTTTAACGTATCCGTAGTTACGTTTAGAACTACAAATGAACTTTATTCTGTTTTTTATATCACAATTCCAACTCTCCTCCTATATCGGGGCTTGGGACCGATAAAAGTGACCCCAAAGAGATACTATGGCGGAGCCCACGGCAGCACCCGCTGCTCGGTGAGAAGAGTAAGAACGATAACGAAAGTCGCTAGATTTGTCGCTAGTCGCTTTTTTGAAAAGGAGTCGCTAGAGGGGTCTAAAAATTCGCAAAATACAGCGACAAAGTAGCTAACCCCACAACCCTAGAGGGCGCAGAAGGTTTTCCAAGCAGCAGACTGTTATTGTCCAGAAGCTGCAGCACCATCTACTGGACATTTCGAGAAGCAACTCAAATTGACCATTCGGCAGTACTGCGAAAGGTGAGCATGTCCCCGTTATTACGGTAGAGTTTATGAAAACTGGTCCAATATATTGTTTTTTTATCTGCAACGTGACCACTAACAGAAAATACTCGTTATAGCTGTAATTGAGTGACATGTATGATCTGATTCCATAGACATGCCACATGCGTTGGTGAAGAGACACTGACAGCTTAATCGTATAGTTGCTTAACAGACACTTTTGGTCAGAACAACTTAAAGCAGCAAGTTACTAGTCTTAGCCAGGCTATTTCTGAATTTGAATCAACAACCCTAGAGGCAGTGTTACTCGCTACCGAGAATGAGTTGTGTTCTTAATAGTAATTAAACTAAATGGGCTCCAATTAGTATGCTTACTACACATAATTAGAATAAGTCATGCGGCTAATTGCTTTAGGGCCTGGAGTCATGCAATTAATTTCTGTAAGGCCTGAACGTTAAATAAATATTTGTTTCCCTGGTTTAATAGATAGATGGTAATAGAAATTGTAAAATAATATTTTCAGATTTACAATGACATTTTCGGAACGATGTTTATAACAGATGGCATTGGTAAAAGTGCGTACTCAAGAGTTCGGCTTTGTTAATGGGACAGCTTAGGTATAAATAGAATCCAGCATACAGTACGAGCATTCCAAAGAGGAACAATGCTTGAATAAAAATTAAATAGGCCTACCGATATAGCCGCAGGCGGCGATTAACGGAGTCCAAGCACTATATGGCCTGAATAGACGGTATGGCCACATTAAGCATGAAATGTTCCATTAGAATTTATATAAATGAATGTATATTAACTTTGGAAGCACTTTGTGTATGCATGAATTTATAATATCTACATTACTGTATAAGGGCATATTGTCTATGGGCGTTCGCTGTAGCAGCAGCATAAGCCCAACCCGTGTCTTTTTCCTGGCCTGAGTACCAGTAAGAATACCGCACCATTACACAAATATTCATGGTTCTTGGTCATTTTAAATGGTAATCATAGCCTGCTGAAATTCGTTCTAGTGCAGAAGATTATTAATAAGAAGAAAAATCCTGGCATATACAATTGGGTTCCAGCACTGTTTGCTTGGACACCTAAAAAACAAAGGGGGGCTAGGAGGACATTAGTGACAATGCAAATAAATAAGCGCATGGTATCTGCATGGTTATAACTAACCATGTTTTCCGTATGATGGGGTTAGTTGCAATCTCTGCCACAAGCGTCATCGGACCCGATCAAAGGAGTGACTGGGGGAACAGGTCCGTGGTCACAATCATTCACTAATGCAACTTGCGCGTTAGGTAGAAGGAGCGTAACATCATTTTTGAAAGTATCACTTCATATATAATTATGAGAAAACACAGGCCAATGTCTACGTTTTGGCACAACATCAAACTATTTAACTGTAAAAGTTCCCTGACCGGGAATCAAACCCGGGCCGCGGCGGTGAGAGCGCCGAATCCTAACCACTAGACCACCAGGGAAAGTATTTGAATAACTGCTATTGGTTTCTGAGTAACTTGGCATTAAAAACACATCTTTGTACATGACCAACAATCTTCCACATGTTCATTATAAATGTAAATAATAATTTAAACTAAATCTGTATACAACCAACAATAGGCTATATAAACTGTTCAGTGAATCCAGATGAATAGAACATTAAATACCACCATAACTTACTGGCTACAGTCAAAAGACCTGTATTCTTAAGATGTAACTTGTCCGTGACGTTGTAAGTTGCAAGGGATCAGCGGTCCTGCTGTAGGAGGAGCTGAAATGATCTGAACATGTAAATGGCCTTTTGCATACCCCCCCACCGCCCAATCTCAGATAGCATGTTAATGCAGTCTGAGGAACAGCAGATGGCTCTCTTACCCCAAACAATTTCCTCACTCTTTATATTACTTTACAGCTAGCATTTTATGTGGAAGTGTTTGCTCTGCATTTCAATGTGTAAGATTGTGCTGCAACACAGAAAATGAGCAATACCCCTTCTAAATCATATTTCAAACTCATCATTCAAATTAAAATCATTTGCAGCATGCTTAGCAGAAGATAATCCCTCAGATATTTCACAGAAGCCTGCCTATTTTGATTAAACTTATTTCTAGTGTTGAAGGATAATCTTTT